ACATTTGCTCCCCAGACACTGGTCTCACACCTTCACCTTTTCCACGTAAAGAAAGCAAATTTTCTGTTAAGAGCAAGAAAAGCTGCTCTGGGAGAGCTGATTTTTTTTTTTCCCCAGAGCCTTCATCCAGCCTTAGATTTCTTTTATTTTTGCTTTCCCCTTAGCCCACGGGCATGTCAATAAATGCAGAGCACAGACTTCCCCCCATGTATGTGAGCCAACCAAGGTGCACGCAGAGCTCCTAACCTCTATTTCCTCACAGGAGCTGTCCCACAGGCCCCCAAACTGCTCTGTGGCTCCTCAGTAGCCAAACCCCAGAGGTAACACCAAGCAGAAACCCACAGCAGTCACAGTACAGCTCGTACACTAAACGAGGCCATCGCTTTTGTGGGGCTTTCAGCATTTCCAAAACGATCACAGTTTCACTCACTATTTTTGTTGTTGAAGACAGACACGGACAGCGCGTTCTGTATGTCTGTGAGCTCTATGTCTTCCCTCGTCCTCCCGTTTCTCCAGAAATCTAGCGCCAGCTCCGTTATCTTTTCAGCCCCAGCATTGCTAAGTAAAGAGAAAACAAAGGTTGTACCTGAAGGTAGTTTTAAAAGGCACCGAGCGCACAGGACAGCACGCCTGAGCTGTCACCTCCTACCTGAGGAATATGAAGATGGCTTTCCTGTAAGAAACTCCATCCAGGAGCTCGTAGTAGTCCAGGAATGGCTTGATGGAAGTCGATGAGTCCTGCGTGCATTTTATCCATTTCATCAAATATGAAGATTGATCGGGGACAGATGCTCACGTTTCCCCGAATCCATGATTGCAACTGGTCCTGAGTGGCACGAAAACAGAAGCAGCTGAGAGAATTTGTGTTGAAAAGACAGAAAATAGGACTGGTGCCCATTGGGTTTTGTATTCTTTTCAATTGTGTCACTTCAATAGCTTTGGCTTCTTGGCTAAAACATGGCTGAAAGCTGTAAATAAAACTTATAAAACCAGATGTCATGCTAGCACTGAGAAATTTTGAAGACACCAAGAGACAAGACTGAACAAGCAGGAAAGCTCCTCAACAGATGTTCCTGAAAATGTATCAAAAATGAAAGCCTGTCATCAGGACAGAGGACAGGTACCACCAAGGAACAGCAAAACAAAGCAAAGCCCTGTCAAGTGAGCTCATTAATTTTGGCAGCACTTTGGTCAAAACTACAAACAGTGTTATATTTACTACGTGAACAGCACCACCAAGAAATGCCACCTGTACTAGCACAAGTAGAAACAGAATTCAGTTCTCAGCCCTTAATCATTCTGAAGTTAAATGAAGACAATTATGGGCCCTTCTTAAACCACAGCATTGCTCAGACAGGCTGATGCTTTACTGTAAAGATTCTCTCACTTAATGGTTACATCTTCCTCTCGTGGGACATTTAAGATCAATAACAAAGTAAATCAGAAAAAAATGGGTTGATCTGCTGGCAAATGAATGAGAAGTAACCGCTCTGACCGTTTCCAATGATTCACCACTTTTTGAGATTCGCTGCACAACCAGGCAGCAAAGGAAGGTGGCATTGGATATATTGTGGACAAGGAGTGATAGTTCCTCCTACTGCCACGGGCAGCAACTTTACCAAGCAGTGCGTTCATCTCAAAAGAAAAGCAGAAAAGGGTCTGTTTTATTTTAGAACAGCTCAGCTGCAAGGAGGATAAAAGCAAGCTGTAAAAGAGGAAACATTTCTGCCATTTAGAAAGTAGGCTTGGAGACCTATTCCTATTTTCGACATTCACAAATGGAATATAAACATCCGGTACTAGAAAATGCAGCCCTACTCATTCAAACTCTGCTGTCAACACAGTTAAAACAACAACAACAAAAAACACAACAGAAAACATGCATCTGAAATACTGCCCCACGATATCCACCTGCCTACAAAGCTGCACTGATACTTCCCAAACCCTGGGAATGATTCCAACTAAATTTACCTACACCCTTCTGGCAACACAGCATTCTGTTATTTTGTTTTACAGCTGGGAGATGGCAGCATAGCAAAACTAAACAACTTGCTCAGTGCAAGAAGCAGGAAGTTACACACGTGCCTCAGACAGCAAGTTTCAGCCTTCCACAGTACCTAACGTGCCTGGTGGCCACCAGACAGCTCTCCAGTGCCACAAACTATTCCTTGTCTTTCTCAGTGCCCCTCAGCAAATCACCTAACCACGGAAACCTGCCCATTGACTGTTAGCTTTAAGTCACACACATCTCTAAGTAAAGTGGAGAACGATAAAAATGAACCATGCTGTTCTTCCCTAAAGAGAGGCTCAAAACACATGCAAAAAAAAGTCTTTACTTTCGTGGGAAAACCCGTCCTGCTGTATGTTAGGATTTACCCAATTCTATGCAGAAGATTCCAAAACTGCCATTGGGTACATTTTACAGCATAAAAGAGCACCTAGTTTTTTAGTTGCAATGGTGGTGTCAGAGAACACAGGAATTCCAAACATATAATAATGAGAATACAATTTTAGACAGCTCAGACAGCAGCTTTATTAACCACGATCGTAGTGAAAAAGCATTTGGGCTTGGGTGTGCAGTCAGTGCTGGCAGAGCCCATGGGGTGGCACAGCCCGAAATGCCTTAGGTTGGGTACAGGAGGTGCAAATACCCCCCCGCTGCCAGCTGTTAGGCACAAGGAACGTTCCTCTTCTTATGAAAAACTCAGCCATGTGTCTCAAATCATAAAGGTTAATAATTACAGCACCACAAGGCTGTAACGTTCACAACTGAACGCAGCAGTGACTGCTGCCCCCTGCCGCGAGTTCCGCCTTACCTTGTAGGTGTTGATGTCCTGAGCGTGAGGGAAATGCAACGTAGCCACGAACTGATGGACGTATTTACTCTTCAGACCGTTTTTATAAATGCTTTCGGCGATTATCTTACTGACAAAGTTTTTGCCTGTTCCAGTCCAGCCGTGCAAGGAGAGGGCGAGAGGCTTTTTGGCGTTCTCGTTGTTGAGGAAGCCCTTCACGGCCTTCACGATCACCTTGCTCACCAGGTGCTGCCCGAAGAGCTTTCTGTCCAGGTTCTCCTGCAGGGCTGGGGAGCAGGACAACGAGGTCAGAGGCGAGACGGGAAGAACCGCCCGCGGCTCCTGGCCCTTCCCCGGCCTCACGGGAGCCACAGGATCAAAGGGCTGGCCAAGCTGGAGTCAACCTGCCGTCCCTTCCCTGTCCTCCGGGCCCCAATTCCTTATCCCCTTTCTCTATCCTCAAATTCCCCACGCTCCAGGGCCCCCTTCCCTGTTCCTTGGGGTCCTTTGGGGTCCCCTTTCCCTGTCCCCCCAGGACCCAATTCCCCATCCTGCAGAGACCCAGGGCCCCCTACCCTCAGGTTCCCTTCCTCATCCCCCAAGACCCCAATTCCCCATCCCCCTAGGACCCCAATTCCCCATCCCCTTCCCCATCCCTTCAAGACCCCATCCCCCAGAGCCCAATTCCTTACCCCATTCCCCTATCCCCCTTCCCCATCCCTCGACACCCCCTAACCCCCAGACCCCCTACCCCTTAATCCCCCTCCCCACCCCCTAGGACCCAGCCCCCTGCCCTCAGAAGCCCCAACACCCCCAGGTTCCCTTCCTCATCCCCGGGACCCAAACTCCTCATTCCCCCATCCCCAAATTTCCTGCCCCCCTTCCCCATACTTTGGGGTCCCCTTCCCCGATCCCCCGGGACCCCAACTCCCCCTCCCCATTCCCCGGGACCCCCGGGACCCCCTCCCCATGCCCCGGGACCCCCCCCAATCCTCCCGCAGCCACCACAGGACGAGTCCCCCCCATCCCCTCATCCCCTCCCCGCCCGGTACCGGCGGCGGCCCGCGGGTCGTGGCGCTGCAGGCAGCACTCCCTGAAGTAGCAATAGAGCCGCGGGTACGAGATGAAGCCGGTGAGCGCCGAGGCGGCGGCACCGGCGAGGGCCAAGCCCCAGGCTGATGGGCTCCACGGCGCCCACGGGCCCGGGCAGCGGCGGCAGCAGCAGCAGCAGCAGGAGCAGCTCCAGCCCCGGGGCCGCCCGCGGGCCGCCCCGCCGCTCCGTCATGGCCCTCACGGCCCCGCCGCCTCCCCGCCAACGCCTCGGCCCCGCCGCGCCGCTTCCGCCGTCGCCATCTTGGGACCGGGCAGAGGCGGAGCTGGCGGGAGGGGCGGCGGCCATCTTGGGAGGGGCAGATGGCGCTTTGAGGGGTGGCGGCGGCCATCTTGGGTGTGGCGGCGGCCATGTTGGGAGGGTGCTGTAATTAAGGGCTGCTCATTAAGAACGGGCCAAAGACCGCAGCCAACCAGCCTGGACGTTTTGTTTTGTTTTGTTTTGTTTTTTCACCCCCTATTTTTGGCTAAAGGAGCAATTGGGGTTACCCCCGGCCCTGCAGAGGGGCATCATCAGCTGTAAAGGCAGCTGTGCCCAGCCCAGAAAGAAAAAAAAAAAAGTTCATTTACCACAGTTTCAAAACACTTTTATTGTTTTTAAATTCAAAGTTTTGCCTTCAGGCTCCCCCACGGGGCAGTTCCCGGCTCACAGGCTGCAGGGCCTCACCCCTGGGTGCCCAGGGAGCTGAAACGAGATGTTTCTGAGGCTGCCCAGGTACAGCCACAGAGCAGGCAGAGCTGCTGCAGAGATCTACGGGCACAAAAATACAGAAGGCCACACACAATACAAAGCCCTAACACCCATGCTGGGTGCCTGCTGTCACTCCTCACACTGTGACACGACAGCACCAGGCTCCTCCAGGAGCACCGAGCTCACTGCTCTCTTGCACTACGTGCAGTGAGTGCCCTTGGGAACACAGAAGAAGTGTTTTACAAAGTTGCATCCTCCCCAAGATGGCTTTAAACCTTCCCTTCATATTCACAAGGCAAACAGCACTGCTGCTTTTAAACTATCTATGTTTTCCATGTTGTTTAAGGTGTAAGAATCTGTAAAAGCAAATGTGTTTTCCCACTAAAAAAAGACGAAAGCTCACATTTTTATAAAAGAAGTTTTATAACAGAAAATAAATTATATACACAATTTTACCGACCAGAGTTCACAACCACCTGCAAACTGATTCACTACAAGATCACAAGAAAAGGTTTGTAGTTAACACCAGCACGCGAAGGCAGTGACTCTCTCCACCTCCGTTTCAGGACACTGACACAGAATTCTTTATTAGCAGAAAACAAGAACTTCTGCAAAGACTTCAGTCCACGTTCATTAGTATCGCCTGTTCATCTTCTTGAATTTCTCATAGTGATAATCGTCGGTTGCTTTTTCATTGGGTGGACGTTTGCGATTTGGAGGAGACCCTTCAAACAACAGAGAAGGAAATAACATTTCCTGTCCTTTCACATACGCAACAGAAAGAAGTTTTAATTCTACCACTTCCCTTACAAACTCCACAGAACTACAGCCCCTTGCCATGAGAACAGGTATTCCTTTAGTAACCTGTGCTCCTTAATCTAGTGCCCTTTGTCATCCCAGCTTTCAGCAAACCCTCGCCCATCAGCTTGGCCAATGTGTTTCGGTTCTGACCTTTGCTACTCCACCTTCAGGAATCCCTAAAACATCCTCCATCCTGTGTGACCTGCCATGGGTACAAGTGTAACTGCCCCCTATGGACTTCAAATACAGATTGCTTCACTTCCCCACTAACTCAGGGCACCCAGAGAAGAGAAAGCAAGGGCAGTTAGATCAGTTCTCTGTTACATTTCAGCATCTTCCTCTTACAACATTTCAAGTTCGGAACTTACGCTCAGGTTCTGGCCTCTCTGTATCCCCCACTCTCAGAGGACGGGGCTTTGGCTCTTCTTTATTTCTTCTCACTGGTGCATTTAGCTCCTCATGATAAACTAAAGGAGGGAAAACATCAGATAAGGAACATTTCAGAGGCGTGTTATTTAGACAGACATATTTCTATTTGTTACAACTGATCTTTAGCAGAAAGAACAGAACAAGCATTCCTGTAATTGGCTTATATGGATAATCAATGCATGCAAGATGGGATACAGCAAATTTCAGTAGCACTGTTTCATCAGAAGTGGTCCAAAGATTCTTCATTTCCTTTGGAACACACAAATCTGACTCCGAATCACCTCTGTAGGCGTGGTTAGACACAGTAGAAGGCTGCCTTTCCTCCAGATGGCTGCAGTATGAGCGTCTCTCCCGGAAATTAATTCCCATCTCCTGTCTAGTAAGATCTATGTATGCTTGACCACCTGTGTGCTTTGGCAGCCCGGAAAATTGATTCTCTAAATTATAACCCATCATTTATAATCACAGACAAGGCAGGCATTTACAGCACACGTTCACGGAACAACTTAAAGAAAAAGTCTGGAAATTTATGAGGCACTGTCAGCTGGGAGTTCAAGAGCAGAAAGTTAGGCCGTAAGTAATGTGTCCCCCTCCTTGCTGATGGATGGGAAAAACAGGCCAAGCCACATGGGGTCTATACGAGCATCCCAGAGAAAGGAATCAGACAGCTGCTTGTGCTGATCCATGAACTAATTTCTCCTGAACCAGACTCCATCCCAGCTGACCGATTTTCTGTAGCAGAAAGAAAGCAGAAAGGAGCAGGTCACACCTGGGTCAGGAGAGCTACAGGAGACTTACATCTGTTGTGCTGGACATAGTTCACAGCCATGTTCGTAGGAACAAAGGAAGTTTCGCTGTCTTTCTTTTTGTTCTGCTGCTCTGCCAGCAGCTTGGCCTTTGCCTCTTCAGTTGAGATGATGTTTTTAATTTTTGCACTAGAAGGAAAAAAAAATATTCATATTTAAAAACAACAACAAAATCATATTTAAGAAGGGTAACAGGCAAAGGAATTATCCTAAGCAGAAGGATTTGGGTGTAGTGATAGCATTGCTATTGTATTTGATATGCTTTTTGAGGGAGGAAGCAGCGCTATAGAAACTTTGATGCTTAGATGCTTTGCTTCCAAGGCACAAGGTTAAGCTCACATCTGCTGAACACCTCACTAATCCAGACCAAGGCTGAACCCCATCACAGAGCGCAGTGGGAGCTGTATAATCCAACCACACCACTGCTCTGCCAGTCGACAGTCTCTAGCCACAGTGCTCCCCCTGCCACTTCAGGCCACGACTACCAGCTCTGTGAACAACGTACTCGATTCCCAGATCCACTTCAGGGATGCCGCTTAGCATCTGGTTGGACAGCATCTCTTCAGTCTTCTTGGCAGAAGAGACACGGATGTTCTCTGGCAGCTCATACAGAGAGTCCTCAGCATTCTTAAGCTTCACCTTCTGCTCCTCATTCTCCACAATTCCTTTCCTCTTCTTCAGCTCTGTCTCAATGTACTTCATCCTAAAGTGCAGCACACAAGGGACACGTGGTATTTAGCTCTGCTTTCTGTACTCTGTCCCAACGCTGCTGCGCACAGCTGCGAGCACTCTGTGAGCGCTCAGTGGCTGGGAGGGAGGAATGAAAAATGTCTCCAAAAGCACTCAGCTAACATCAACTGCAAGAAACAAGGTATTTTCAACTCTGTCCAAGAAATGATCGGATCCTCCAAGCTCTTTCACAACCAGCAGGGAAGGCGGCTGCTGGTGTTTAATGCCACATTGCCCGGCTGATTGGCACCTCCCAGCTTTGCCCATGAAAATGCCTTCTGGAGTCTGGCAGCCAAAAGGTGAAAGAGCAAGCGAAGGTTTCTGTGAGAACCTGGAGGATGTTTTGGGAACACTCGGTATTGAAGATAGGAAAACAAACAGCCACAGCAACTGTGAGAGGACACCCAGCCCAGAATTCAACATCCCAGTCGCACAGTGCAGCTCAACTTACATGTCAGCATCTTCATCTCGCCTGTTGGTCTCAGCCGAGAAGGAGGTTCCCAAGTTGAGATCTTCCTCTTCATTAATCCTAAATGGAAACCACAGCGCTGCAGTTGTTTGTTTTAACCGATTTGACAGGTTAAGAAAACAGGAGCTAGCCAAACTGAATTATATTAAATTCTTCAGCATCTGCTCAGTTTATTGCTGTGTCTTAATACCAAGTCCAGGGAAAGGTCTTCAGAGCTCACACGCACCCACCTGTCCTTGCCTCGTTCTTTCAGTTTCTTCATGTCCACCATCCCCCCAGATTTTATCTTAAATGGGTCATCCTGGAATTTAAGAAAAAATGAGAAACCCTGAAGCTTCCCTTCAGCTTAATGCTAGTTTTCAAAATCTGAATGAGAACAAAGAAAACCACTGAGCTGTGACATCAGCCCTATTCCAGGCCAGACTGCCCCACTGCACCACACCGACGATCTCTCATCGTTACAGCTTAGCAGTGAGGTGCTGAAAGCATCGAGAACTTACCACAAGCGTCGCTTCTTCTTGCAGCTTCTCTCCCACAAGCAGAGCTACAGCGCTAATCAGGCAGATAAAGTAAAAAATTAAAAATCAGTAGAATTAAATGTATTATCAACCACCACCTTTGTTCACCCCTCACCAAATCTAACACGCGATCTCAAACATTTCACTCGTGCTGAGTTGTCAATCCCCTTAATCCCTTCGCATGGGCAGAGGACCTATCAAGTTTTAGGGAGACGAGAAGATAATGCAGAGAGATTTTAGTGCCTTACTAATTTAGGTTTTAGTCACCAAAACAAGGAACACAGCTCACTGCTGGGGCACGTTTCAAATAGCTCACCAGCTAACCAGTGACGGTAGGTAAGAGAGAAAAGAGGGAAATTAGGATGCAGATGAGAAGGGGCCCAAGTTACACCTACCATTCTGTTATGTGTACGGGACAGATGTAACCTGATGAACTACGCATTTCCACCACACAGAGCACATCCTCACCCCCCGGTGCTGCAGCCCTTACCTCACCCCATTGGGTCGCTTCCTGAGGCTCTGCACTTCTTTGGCTTCCTCGAGTTTTAACCTGAAGAAAAAACATCGGACTTGGTACCTGATGCTTTGGTTTTAGTTATTTCACTTGGTTTGGTTTCATGCATTTACGTATTAGTGCCCGCCTACTCTTCTGGTTACACATTCAGTAGACACTTTCTATTTTACTTTATTAAAAATTTTATTAAAGAGATCAGAAGTGGCGTCTGCTGGGCTGCCCCTCCAACACATCTGCCCTCAGATGAGGAGCGAAACCCCCAGACCCTGCAAGGCTTCGAGGAGCCAATTTGGGAAACGCGAGGTGGGGATCCCTGCTCCTGGATTCAGCTTGGTGAGATCTCCGGACAACGAAGACCTCCCTGGCAGTAAGGCGGAGGGACACGAGTAGCTAACGCAGGGCTCCTTTACCCCTGCAGCCACCCTGTGAGCTCACAGCACGACACAGCCGCTTCTGTCGCAGGGATGCGACAAAACGCTCATTTTGGGCAAAACCAGAGGTAGCTCTGAGGCCGAGAGCTCACGCAGGTGTCAGCACCTCAGGAAACGCCGCCCGCAGGGTTCCGCGGGGTGCAAGCGCAGGGAAGCGGCGGGGAAGGCCGCGATATGGCGCGATAGCACGCGATATGACGCAGCACGACATGACATGAGGCAGCGTGACGCCGCGCAGCGATGCCGTGACGCGACACAGCGGCGCGGCGCGGCGGTATGACGTCACGCTGCGGCGCGGCAGCGCGATGTGACGCCGCGACACGCGACACGACGCGATATGACGCGATATGACGCTGACATGCCGCGACATGACATCACGGCGGCGCGGCAGGGCCAAGCAACGGCCTTAGCCTAATTCCCCGCGGCCCCCGTGCTCTCACCTGACCTCCCTGGCCAGCTCCTCGTCCTCCTCATCCTCCTCGGGCTCCTCCCGGCGCTTCCTGAACGTCCTGGCGGCCGCCATGCCCCCCCCCCCTTTCTCCGTCGCGGGGTGATGACGTCACTCCGCCGCGCCGACACCGCCCCTTCCGCCAGGGCTTCGGCCTGGCAAGACGAGGGCCGTGCCCCGCTCCCTCCGCTCCGGGCGCGCCCCGCGGCCCCGCTCCTTTGGTTCCCCCCCCGCCTCAAACGTTCCCCCCGCCGCCCTCCCGCTCCCTTCCCGGCGGCGGGGCGGGGGCTGCGGCCGCGGAGATCCCCTGGGGTCCTTCAGGGATCCCCAGAGGTTGGTGAGAGGGAGGCGGAGGCTGGGTCCCGGCCCAAGGCCCCGCTCCCGAGGCGCAGAGGCCGCAACGGCGCCCGTGGGGCCTCAGCAGCGGGGCCCGGGGGCTCGGGGCTGGGCTGAGGAAGCCTCGGGAGGGGCCTGCGGAGCCCCTCGGGGAGCCCCGGGGAACAGGGGGGCGAGCCCCGGCCGCTGTGAGGGTGTCTGCACATCTGGGGCGAGCCCCAGGCCCTCAGTGTTTAATATTTGTTTCCACCCAGGGCCCCAAATCTCCGCCTGTGCTGACCCCCGGGGGCTGAGGCTCGGTGGAGACCGGCCCGTGAGGGGAGCAGAGCCCGCGCCGTGCTGAGGAGCCCCTGGGTTCGGGCTGCTTCTCGTCCAGAGAGCGGTTGGGTAAGTCATTAATTCCCTTCGGTAAGTCATTAATTCCCTTCGGTAAGTCATTAATTCCCTTCGGTAAGTCATTAATTCCCTTCGTAATTCCCGTCGTGGCCCTGGGTTGTGCGGGATGAGCGAGCAGATCTGGAGATCGCTTCATGAAAGCAGCGCCGGGGCTTGGTTTGGTTTGTGCCAGGCTTGGTTTTATTTGTTTGTTTATTTTTTTTTAATTTATTTATTTGTTCCATCTCCGAATCTGCGCTCTCTGAATCTGAACTGTTGAAAACCGGCTTTCGTTCCGGTACCAGCCCGAGCAGTTGTTTTGCAATGAAAATAACAAGAGAAACGTGTCGCCGCGCAGGCAGAGCCGCTGGTTTTGGCAGCGACTGAAGCGAGCGAAAGTAGGTTGCTGTTGCCGTGGAATTGTTCTGACATGTTCACGTCCTGTTCTTCCCCAGCGCTTCTTGAGAGAGACAGGCTGGAGGACTTGTTTTAAGGTAACTTTTTTTCCCATTGTGCTCAATACGTTCTGACAAGCAAAGCGAAGCTTTCTGGCAGTGCTTTTGTTATTAAATTCCTAGTTTCCTGAGCAGCGTTTGAGAGCTCTTTGCGCCAGGTAAAGCTCTTGGGGCAGAGCCGTGGGGAGGCAGGGATTTAATACTTTCCTCTGAACAGCCACAGCTCGAACCTTTCTGATGCGTTCGGTCAGGGCTGAGAGGAGAAAATGATGATTTTGCTCTTTTATTTAGGAAAGGAAAGGAAAGTGTAGGTGGGAAGCTCGGCATCCCGGTGCTGGAAAGCTGAAAGGCACGGTTTTAATTTGGAATGGAGGGGTGGTCCTGTGGAATGCAGTAAAACCATCCACAAGACTGTGCTTAACGTAGCAAGTTCCAAAAGCAGTCCCCAGTTAGCTTAAAATGCTGGAGATCGGGGGGTCTGGAGTTCGTTTTAAAGCAATATTTTGTTCATTTGGTTTTCTGGGAAACCTCTTTTGGGAAAGGGATAAGAAACCAGGGAAGGCGAAATAGCAAAAATGGCATTGATACTAAAAGGAGTCGGTTTTGTAGAAGGATCTCTGAGTCTGAAAGCGTCCCAGTTTTCTGTGTTAGCCACGGATACAGCGGTCTTGTCACTTGTCTGTGAAATCAGTGTCTGTTACGAGGCACTGCTCTGCCTGTCTGTGAAGCTGCGTGACGTTACTCAGTTATTTGTTAAGCATCAATTCGCAGGTTGCTGTGATCCTGGTTCCAACCACAGCTGTTTGTAGGATGTCAATACGATTCCTTCCCCCTCCAGTTTTGCTTTGCTCTTCCAATTCAGTTCCAAAGAGTGTTGCAAAAACACTGTTACAAAATTATCCTTGGGGTTTGTCTTCTGCCAAGGCAAGGTGCTAGGCAAGCTTTTCAGCTCCCAGGATAAGTGATGCTGAAGTGGCTTATTTGTTTACCTCTCTCTTTTTTTTTTTTTCTCTGTATTGTTAGTGATTCAGACCTGCACTGGAAATTCTTTCAAATGTCCTCAAAATGTGAAAAGAACACAGAGTAGCAACCGTTGTTAACTTTAAGTTCATCCAAATTTTTAATTTTTTTGGTAATGATGTAAGCTTTTCATGTCTGCTTTGTGTCCAGCCAACAGCAATATTTTGGATCCTGGGTTGTGTTGTTAATATTACTTATCTTTTTTTTTTAAACAGTCACAAGTCAGGTTACTTGCTCTATGCTTAAGAAACACAAACCCTTTTCATCTTCTTTTTGTAGCTGCACGTTTCTGAGACATGTTTCAAGTCCTTAATGTGCCCGTGGACCACCATGAAAATGTTTATTGTGCTCGGAAGCACGCAGCTCTGAAATCCTCTGTGCTTGCAGCGCTTGGATGCATGAGATGGGTGGAACAGGGTGTTATATTTCGTACAGTCTTTGAGAGTTTTGTGACTCGTTAAAAACCTATATTAAACACTAAACTTCTGAGAGGCTGAAGACTGGTTATCAGTTACAGATCTTTTAAGTCTTATTCCCTCTTGCACAGCTTCATTAAAACAATCATCGTATTTTTAACATTTGATAAAGTAGCGTGATAAGGGACTAAATGTTAGATCCAGATCAGCACAGTATGGGCACCTCGAGGCCCCCAGACACCGTATGCTAAGTACTTGTCTTGGGCTGCAGCGCCCTTTTGCTTTTAATCTGAGTTTCATGCAAACAAGCTACGTAGATTTGTATCTCTTTGTGCTGCGTGTTTATTTGGCAAGAGGAATTACGTTCAGACCACCACATTTGTTTTCCCACCCTACCTGCTGAGCTAGAACATAAAACCCATTTTCTAGGGGGAAAAGTGGAGTTTATCAGCCTAGTCAGGTTAATGGAGTAGTGTATTCATGGCATGTAAGCCCAGTTAAGGTATGTAGGCAAGGTGTGTGTGAAGTAAGGGCAGTTTTTATTTATTGTTTTAGGCCCCTGCATCATTCAGAGATGCTACTTGATCAGTCTGGGAGCCTGAGATTAAGATGAGGGTGGTCAGTGGCTCACTGTACCACTGCTTTCATTTTGTGGTGTGTTTTTACCAGCTACAGCAAATCGTCCCTCAGCTTGATAGCTTACCTGAAACCAAAGCAGCAGCTGTGCTCCTGCTGCTGTCCCTGCGTGCTGAGCACCCTCCTACGTTTCTGAACACACATTCCACGTTACACACATTATTAGCTTTGTTCATGTGTTTCCTCCACACCCCATTCCCTTGCTCACTTACCTACAATATCGTAACACAGCCACTCTACAGGGGGTCAGAACTGTGCTAGCTAATGTCAGTGGGTCCAGATTTAGATTTGTTTTGATCTCATTGAACCTTAAAGATGAATATTTTAATCTCCAATATACAAAACAAGCTAATTTCTCTTCTTGCAGCCTGTGAGAGCAATTCTGACACGTGACTGAGTAGAGCTATCCTTTCCTGTCCTAGGAAAACACCCTCCCACAGGTGAGAATGGGGGATACAAGAGACATCTGTCCTCACCTGGATTCCATAGGAGAGGTGACCAGGGATGATCTGCTGCTCAAATCCAAGGTACAGGGTGTTCTGGTTGTCAGTCCTTTCCCTTTTTGCTATTGTGCATGCTTTTGCATATTTGCTTTTCAAAGAAAATGCTGCCTGTCTCTGTAGAGAAGAGTGCCTTGCACATGTGCCATAAAATAAGCCCCTGTCAGTCCCATCTGGTGTATTTCTCACTGACACTGTATCCTGCTCAGATGTGTCACCTACCTAAGGCACTGCAAATTGTATATTTAATCAGAAGCATGGGTTTAAGAAATGAAATACTGTGAGCTGCAGGCTGGGGAGGCCCGTCTCACTGAGAAGTTTCCCAATCCTGAAGGACTAGATTACTTTAAACAAACAAACAAGCAAACAAACCTTCTTTTATCATGAATATGCAGGGAACCTGCCAGTCATGTGGAGCTGTGGGACCAAATCTCTGGGCTTGTCTTCAGGTAAAAATGGCTTGCTATTCGCGTGCATGATATGGTGGGACTTTTCTTCAATATAAATCTAAATAAAAATATAAAAAGAAGATGTATTTGACCAGGGGAAAAATAAAAATGAAGAGTGGGCTTCACAGTAGAAATATGCACTGTTTTTTGATGGATTCCAAGAAAAAGTCTGCCTAGATTAAAAGCTAATGCTGTCAAAATACACTCAGATTTAACAGTTTGCTTCTCATAGGTGATTTCCCCCCGAATAGCCCCAGTAGGAATGAATATCATTCCCAGCATCGACTGCCTCTGCTGGCAGCTGTGAAGGGAGGCTGCAACTGTGAGACCTCAGAAGAGAGGGCAGGTGCTCAGGGCAGTGAGGCAGAAAGGAACGACAAAGGGCACGAGGGTGGGCAGGGGCAGTTTATTTTTACACTGGAATGCCCAGATGCTTGGAGATTTGGCAAATGAGCTGCTTGTTGGAGCAGTTGCCTTGGAATGGGGAGGTTACACGGGTGCAAACCCACGTAGGGTTTGCAGGTTTTCTTTTCTTAAATTCAGCAATTCCAAATTTCTGTCTTATTCTGGGCCCTGGAAAAAAAAGAAAAAGGCTAGAAAAATGGCAAGATCAGTTCTGAAGTTGCAGGTGCTGGTAGGACTGGGGTTGCAGACTGTTTTGTGAAGGGTTTAATTTGGTGTGCCACTGTACTTTTGCTCTTTCTCTCACCAGCTCGGTTGTTCTTATGTTGGTTGTGGGGAGTCCTTTGCTGACCACAGCACGCTTCACGCACAGGTGAGCTTTTCTCTGCTGCCCACCTTAAAACAGAGAGAGTTGGATTTTTCTCATTACCTAATCCTCTTCTGCGTTAATCTGGTGGTCATGTGCTTCAGTTTGAGCCAGCTGTCAAATCGTTATTTCATCTTTCAATTTCTAGGCCAAAAAGCACAACCTGACAGTGAATCTGACCACTTTCCGGGTC